TGGTAAAAATAAAAATGTCTCTTTATTGTAACGTTATTACTGAACCTGTGCATTTTTATATTAGTAATTATACATGTTGAGGTTGGAGTTGGGGTACGTCGAGCAATGATGATAGATAGGCCAAGGATTATGCGAGTAAAAAAAGGTTGAGAAATTATTAGATGAGAGAAATCCTGAAAATGTTCACAAAAACTATTAATTAAATGCAGTATAAATTTATTTTAGGTTATATCACTTACGTAACATTATTTAAAAGTTTATATACCAGAATTCAGTCTCAAAAGTATCTTAGATTAATCTCAGTAAAGCTGCAGATTTTTATAACATCAAATCGGTATGTGATAAATTAAATGTGGTTTAAATTATATTAATTAGATGTCTAATAGTGCGTAGTTCATTGACGTAATAAAGTAAATAATTTAAGAAATCATTTTATCTGTATTTCCTAATAACGTTTGTACGGTTTTATGCCGCGTCTTCGTGGTGTAATTAGATAGCACTTCCGGCTAGCAGTCGAAAGATTCGGAGTCTAGTCTAGGAAAAGACATTGTACATTATACATTTGTAGTAGCCTATAATAACTTCAAACACTGAGCTTTTTATTTTTAACATTAGCTACGCTCTCAGTAACGGAGCTCGATACCGGTCTGCTGGTGCAACCACACCTGCTAACCTATTTGTTTTTGTCTTTTCAACTTTATGATTAAGCATTATTTTTTTTGCACTTATTGCTTATTGCTATTGTATTGTATACGTTATTAGGTACTGCGTAGCCTAATAACGTATACAATACAATAGCGAAATTGCAAAAATTTTAAAAGCAGCATATGTTTAGAATTCTCGATGCATTATTAAGTGTTGGCGTACATTCCCCCCTTCTTTCTTCAGACTTTGTAGTTCATTACATCTATGTTCAGTTTTCTTAGTAAGATGGCTTGAAAAACTTTGTTTTAATCTTTTTTATTGTTAAGCTTTTGTGTGTTAACTTTATTTAATAAATATCATATTCTTCGCACTTAACTTTGTTTTAATCTTTTTTATTGTTAAGCTTTTGTGTGTTAACTTTATTTAATAAATATCATATTCTTCGCACTTACGCCACCTGAAATTCAATTTACAGTCTCGCGCGCTGAAGATACAAATGTTTTAATCTGTACAGTGTTCCTACTGCTCGCTTTCAAATCGTTGAGTTATTTAATCAAAAATTAATTAAAATGTTACAAAATATGCAATTTAAAATTCGGAATTCAGGTGAATATGTTCAGGTGAAGGACAACTTTATTCAAAATTTGATGGCTATAGGTATTGTTATTTTTTCACGATCAGAGAAATATGCATACATTCATGCAGATTCTTCACTATTTAATTTCTTTAAAAGTAATACACGACGATAATATTGGTGGTAACAACATGAAAAGTAATACTGCCATTTAAAGTGAACTGCGCAAAAATCCCGTTTCGAGTCTAATAGCCTATTCAGGTTAACATCTTTTTGAGCTTAAAAGAAGTACATATATTGTTTTTAAATCCCTGAGTTTATTATTAAAGGAGTTTTAAATGAAAAGCAAATTCAGCATTTTAGCTATATATTCGAAATGGCAATACTTGGCAGGCCATGTGCCGTTTGAAAGTTGAATTAAATCCCCTTAACCTTGATTATCTTTTACCTTTCCGATACTTAATTGCTAAAAAAAATTTTCATGCAATATAATTAATATTTGTCGTTAACCAATAAAAGTGCTTTCCTAGCGACACTACTTGTGTGAAGTAATAAAGGGAAAATATATATATATATATATATATTGTTCATATGCTATACATTAGCGTATATTATGAACTTCAATGCTGCATAAACTTTGCGCTGGGTCTTTTAGTAGCATAATATGAATGACGTTGTAAGGAGGTTGAGTTGTATGTGTATGTTACATCGTGAGAGAGTTTGGATGAACTCCCTGTGTGTATCCTGAAAGGAAATCTTACGGCAAGCACCTCGCTGGCTTGGTGTGGTACGAGGCTGCTGCACCCTTCTACCTGCGCGTGAGAAAATTCAAAATCAGAGGAGGAGGGGGGAAGGGTGCTCTAGTCCCTTTAATCGCGCGATCCCGTGACGTACCGGAAGTGAAGGGCCGAACGCCCTGCAAGGACGTTGAGGAAATCTGTTGGTGATCGCATTCAGCTGTTTCTTAGCCGGGAATGGCGAGGAATAACAAGAACAGCTGTTTCCGCGAGCGAGCAGGCCCTCCTGTCTACGAAACGTTCAGGTTCTAATAAGGCAGGTGTCATTCGAAAAAAGAACATGGAACCTGAACTCTTATACGTTTTATCCCCCCCCCGTGTTGAAAATCCTTGTTTGAACGTAAATTACTACAAGTGAATTACATGAGTAGGAAGTCTTGATGAGAGGAATGATATCCTACGCACCGGGAATGCCCAACAAAAAATTATTAGTAAAATTTTTAATAGCTATACAAGAAATTTTAATTAAAAATAATCAGCTTTTTTTATTAGGCCAAAGGGCGTTAGCCCAGAAGGGCTTTTAATTTCGTTTTGGAATTTTGCTTCGAAAACTTTAAAAGTTTAAATCGCTTTTCAAATTGTTGCCACCAAACATTATTGCCCTGTATCATATTTAAAGAAATTAAATAATGAAGAATCTGCATAAATGTATGTATGTTTCACGTTGTAATTTTGAATAACGTACGTTTCCACCCGAATATGGGCATCTGGAAGCCCAAATTTTATAATTAGTTTTATTATCTATTTCATATTTTGTAAAGCATTTATGAGTTTTTGATTGAGAAACTCAACGATTTCAAAGCGAGTAATGGCAACACTGTGGGAGAGGAAAATTTTTATCTCCAGCACCCGAGACTCTGTATCGAAAATTCTAAAGATATGCTCATTTTAAAATTGTTTTGCGATATTGCTGCTGAGCTGAATTTTGTGGTTTCGTTTGAGTGCATAGAACATGATACTTAATAAATAAGGGCAAAACACAAAACGTTAAAAAAACGCACCTTTGAACGTAATTTAAAATCTGAAACCTTTCAGATATTATTTGTCTTAATTTTATAATTTTCATTATTAGTCCAAAAGGGGCTTTGACCCTGAAGGACTATTGTTTTCGTTTTGCGATTTTGCGTTGAATCACTATAAATGACCTTACACTTTTCAAACTGTTGCCACCAAATGTTAGAGTCCTGCATAATATTTGAAGAAATTAAATATTGAAAAATCTGCATAAATGTATGAATATTTCTCGCATTGTGATAAAACAACGATACATAGAGCCATCGAATTTTGAATGAACGTAATCCTGCTGCAAATATGGGCATCTCGAAGACCAAATTTGGAATTTGTTTTATTATCGGTTTCTGATTTTGTAAAACTTTAACGAATTTTTGATTAACAAACTCAACGATTTAAAAGCGAGCAATGGCAACACTCTACGGCAGGGGGGAAAAAAACCTTTTTATCTCCAGCGCGCGGAACTGTGTATGGGAAATTCTAAAGACATGCTCATTTTAAAATTATTTTGTGACATTACTGTTGAACTGAATTTTATGGTTTAAGTGCAAAGAGCATGATAATAAATAAATAAAGGTAACACACAAAACGTTAAAAATACGCCTCTTTGGACGTAATTTAAAATCTGAAACATTTCAGATATTATTCCCCCCCCCCGTTCCTTACATGGTCCCTTTGTTCCTCTATGTACGTTTAACTTCTTTCAATTAGCAATTCTATTCCTTAAAAAAAGTAATATGAGAATTTATTACAAAAATTGTTCCATAACTATTATCTTCACTTCTTTAGTATTATTAGGTCTTCTTCGAAGAAGCTCAGATTTGGGTTTAGAAAACTTATGAGAGTTGGTCACTGGAACTGGTCTGCAAGATAGATATCACTCAGTCGAAGGTTACATTTTTTGCTGCGTCCCTAATAACAACAATGTAGACTGCTCAATAGAATAGTATGCACTGGGGCACTAGGTTGTGTTTTTCTCTTTAAAGTAGTTAGCTAAAGTCCTTTGATAGCCCAAAACATTGTGCTTAGTATATTTTTCGTTAATTGCTGCACTCTTGCTTTTTTACGCATTTTTCTCCTCGGTTTTCTCCATTTTATGGATTCTATATTTGATAACGGATTATGATGTGGAACTATATTTTCCATCTCCTGTTCCGATTGTAAAAACGATCATCATTTGCACTGTGATGCTACATCAGGCGACACACTGTTTTTGAATCCCTGATTAAAGCTGGAGAGTTCGAATGTGCAAGATATTTGTTTCAGAGAGACCCAATCGAGCTGCTATGACCTTGTATTTTAACCTCCTGTAGATTAGTTTCTTTGCTGATGAGATCAATGTTCTCTAATTACAACGCCTTTAGTAGTCCACCTTGTTGTAGTTCATCTTCAGTAATTGTTTTTCTCATTCTTTTATTGCAGAATATGAAGAAGATGAATCACCGTAAATATCACCCACACGTTATTTTACTTCTTTAGGATTCAGACCTCGTTTATCCAAAAATTTAATAACTGTTCAAAAATTTAGTAACGTTAGTCAGATTTAAATATTATTGGTAAACTTGAGTAGTCTTTAGTTAAATAACTGTCATTTGTCATATTATCTCTTTCTGATTTTGTAAAACTTTAACGAATTTTTTATTTAAAAAACTCAACGATTTCAAAGCTGGGGGGCGGAAATTTTGCAGCGCGCGAGGCTGTGTATCGGAAATTCTAAAGATATGCTGTTTTAAAGTATTTTGTGATATTGCTGTTGAATTAGTTTTTAATAATGTTCTTTGATTTATTAAATAGCAATCTTAAGTTTTTCAGAATGCAGGTTTTTATTATCATCTGAAATCAGATGTGTCTTTGTTAACTTCTTGGAAAAGTTCTTCAAGATTATTATATTATTAATTTTTGTCTTGATATATTAAATGTGCATGTTCTATGCAACATACAGATTTCTAACATTACGTATTTATTCTCTGCAGGTTGTGCTGCGATTCTGACCAAAGATCCATGTGATATAGTGCTGCCATCTGGTAACTCTTTCTGGGACTTTTCAATGCTTTGTTGCCAAATGCTGTCATCGTGCCCAAGACACTAGTTTACTTCGAATGGACACACGAACTAATGGACCGCAATGAGGGAAGAATCTCTACGTCTTCCAAGATTGAGTGGATTTTTATATATTGTTTGGGAATGCTGTCTTTTTTTATGAAGATGGTGGACTTTGTTTATTGTAGAAAAAAATTGCGAAAGAATGCTATCCTATTATAAACTGTTAGTACAACGTTATTCTTCAGCCATATTCGATGGATGCTGCATAATTCCTTCCAGCCTCATTACTATCCTAATTTATGTTAAAAGGGATTATATAAATGTGTCTTAGAATATTGCTAAATAGTGCTTGTTGGGAACATGTTCCTTTTTAAGAACTAGCATTCATAGCATTCATATACCTGAAAACATTAAACTGCATACAGATGAAAAGAAGTTTTCTTCGTTAAAATAGCCTTCTGTAAAAACGTATTCATGTTACATACGCAGCCTAATATTTAGGAGCCAAATAATTCTTTACGGAGTTAAATTTATTTTTATTATTGCAAAACAAATTTTATATTAATTGCTTGCTATAAATTTTCATAAAAATTACCATTGAGGAATATCATAATTTTAAAGTGGATCAGTTTAATAACTTTTTAATAATTTCGGAGTTAAATGTCTTATGACACATCGAATGGCAACACTATGAATGCTAACTATATGCCAGGCCGCATGGAAGATAAATGAAAGATCTTGCATCTTATTCATCGACAACTTCTGCCCGGTCGCTTGATGGTAGTGTTACATAACCCGAGACATTACACCGCGTAAAACTGGAAAGTCTCCATTAAAAATGTTTTTAATATGGAAAGAGAAAGAAAATATATTGACCAAACGATTCGTTCCTGAAGTACGTTGTATATGGCGTTAGATCCATCTTTTATTATGAATTAACAGTGAAGCCCCAAATACTTATGAAACTTCCAGTCGGATATATTACATATGAGATGTTTCAGTTATATGAATTAAATAAATTATCAAAAATAAATAAATAAAATTTAATTTATTATTAGCAGTGGCGTTTATCCCCTTCAAATCACTTAGTTATTAAGTTATATTTCGAAAGATTTAAGTTCTAATTTGTCATTGAATGCCAACACTGTGCAAACTGAATATTTGTCAGAATAGCATTTGTTAAGGTAGAAGATGAATTACAGATTTTATTTTTCGCGTAATGGCAAAAGTTTCCAAGTTACATGTATGATAAATGCGTTGTACTGTAACGTAACGGTTAACAAGTTTTGGAGATTTTGCTGAAGATGTTTCTGAGGTCAAAAATACGTAACAAATTAATATTAACTATTTTTATACTCTCCTTAGTTTAATACATAAATAAAACACTTTTTCCTAGAACTTGTATAGAATAAAAATCAAATGTTGTTTCGCGAAGTGAACCGAATGTAAATATTTGTATATAGATTGTATTAACATAATAACTGTTTATATATAAATAATAAAGTATATTATTTTACTGATGGATATGCATAAAATAATGCTGGGGCATCAGCTATTGATCTCATTTTCTCACACCGTTGCCACGCAGAGAATGCCGGGCAATGAAACTAATAAGTCCTTCCTGTAAAAAAAAATTATATGTTTATGTTTGTGCATTCATTTACGATGTACATTTTATGTAACAAGCTATGTATAGAGAAAGAATATGTATATCTTTTAACTATGTGTATAGTAATAAATGGAATATTTCAATACAATGAAAATGCGTTTTTCTTTTTGTCTTTTCTTCCCCCCCCCCGGCCAACCTTTATCAAAGATTTTCAGTGTTCTATTTTTTAAACATTTTGTACATTTTCCATTATGTTGTATAGATGTATGAATTGCATAGTAAATTCACTTACATATTTTGTTAATATGTAATAGATATTCATATATATTTACGCGAGTTTACTGCAATTGTTATCGAAGCTTTTTTAACTGTAGTTTGTAAGAAATATGTAAGTAAATGTGCTTAGCTTGGACTGGCCTTTTGAAAATTGTAGAGTCATACTAAAAATGGTTTTAAAACCTGGAAACTTCGTATTACTGTCTGAATTCTGAAAGAAAATCTATCTTTTAAGAATTTCAAAATAGTAATAAGTAAATAAAATTTGGAAACTTAAAATTATAGTCTAGCATCTTAAGTGTACTTTAAAAATATGTATGTCACATAATGTGGAAAACCATAAATAATTTGCTACCTTTTTTTTAAATAAAACGAGGCTGTTCACACATTATTTAAACGATTTTCATTGTATTTACATAAATATTTTACCTAATTTTTTTTTCATTAAATGTTCTATTTGATAACCGTTATTCTTCACTTTCTTTCTACCGCATAGTAATAAGTTTTTGCAGTATTCGAAGAGTTATTTTATCTCATCCCTCTTGAACAGCTTTCCAAAATCCAAGGAGGGTTGTAAGTCGACGTTTAGACAATCCGCTAGCTAAAACTCCAAAAACGGTAAAATCCATTGGTGATACGTCAGAAGATTTAATAGGGGTATCAGTGAAGGGCATGGGCTTCATACCCTTTTCATGGCACTGTGGGTAAAGAAAAGATGTTTCATATTTGAAAATTGGTTATAAAATACCGTATTTGCCGGCATATAAGACGCATCCCCTTTTATACACATTTTTGAACGATAAGACTTTATTACTGATCATTATAATTCCGCCAAGTTTTTATCATTTTCTCAGTTCGGAGTGGCTCGAAATGCCGCACTGTTTCCATGTTCCTTAGCATACGCAATCACACGCATCTTATATGCTATGTTATAGCAATGCCGACGTTGTTTTTGAGCTGTAGCTTACGAACCAGTTTAAGAAAATTGACTAGAAGATATGTCACACACATAAAAGTCATTAACAAAAACTGGAAAGTTTAAATGAAACCAGCTGAGAATCGACGTGTAAGACGCAGCCCGTTTTTCAGACCTATTTTTTAAAGGGAAGAAGTACGTCTTATACGCCGGCAAATACGGCATATTCCTGATAATATGTGGAATTTATCTTAACATTTTTCTCCATATTCTTTATTTTAACCGTTATGTAAAAAAAAAAAAAAAAAACAGCAACAATCATAAATCGTGGCCGTTAAAACAATCAAACTTTTGTTCGATCTCCTGCTTTCGATGGGAAAATTGCAAAAAAAATGCAAGTCCAAAATGGGTAATTTTCATTTTCGTCAACAGAGGACAAAAGGAGCATTTCTAAGCTTCCCTTTCCCAGAAACTTAAGCTGCCGAAGCAGAAAAATCCCCTTGGTGTCCTAGTAAGTGCTAATAAAAAAAAAAAAAAAAAAAAAAAAAAAAAACTAAATTCAAAATCAAGCCGAAATTGGTAACAGCAGGAACCTTACATCTCACCTCAACCAGCAGCCTAAAATAGCCACATCTACTCCTGATATCATAAGATACTGTTGATAATGTCAGTGGCCATTCCCTCTGATCCACTTGTTGGGGAAGTCTCATTTTTAGGCTGTTTCTATATATAGACTGAACAAACTGGACCGAGGATGGAACCTTATGAAGATCAATCTTAATATTGTATTTGTCAGTAGAAATTCTAACCAAAAGTTTCCTTTCTTGTAAACAGAATCTTAGGTGAAGACTTGACTTAAATAACTTTATAGGGGCCCTAGGAAAACTTGGTGAAACTCACTGTCAATGAAAACAATGATCACTAACTTTCCTGTATAGCGAGATATATTCTTTGGTCGTTTATAGGTTTGTATGATGGCAGGCTATTGTTACAGACTATAAAGTTCATTACGTCTGCATGCGAAGTGAAACTGGGAATTACATCTAAAAAATAATAACTAAATAAAAATATATCACTCACGTGGCCACAAATTAAGTGAAATTAAACCGGTGTTGCTAAATATGAAAATACGTCATCTACACTCGTGCATTATGTAATTTGCAAAATCATAATTTTACGCAGTAGTAATTTTGACCATATTCCTATAGCGATATATTACATTTCATAAAACAAGAGTATTTTCAGTATTTGCGTGATATTTTTAATCACAAAAATTTTGAATTTTTTATTTATTTCATTTTGTATATACAGAATGGCAACATAAAGAGCTTTCGGAACACAACTTTTTACTTATCGATGATATAACATTACCCATTTCAGTCCCAGAACATGACAAAGAACAACCTGCTCAAATTTAACTAAATCGCCGGCTCAAATTTAACTAAATCAAATAATTACTGCAAAATTTTAAACGAACTGAGCTATAAATTCCCGATTCTTGTTTGTCTAACATGTTATGTTAACTAATGTTACAAATGGATTTCAAAATTTGTATGCCAAAGAATTTACATGACCCAATTTACAAACCAATAGGATGTTCCTACAAGTTTGTTGAGCAAAAGAAGTCTTCGAGCAAGAAGTGGCCCTCATCCACCAGATTTAAAAGTCAGCGAAGCCAAAAGAAGAAAGTGGTAAGATTTAGAAATCCTCCTCAAGTGAACAAGCCCAAACGTTTATCATCGTACGACATACTGGAACTAGTGGAAGTCTATTCTAGATACGTGCATTATGAAGAGATTCTGGATAGAAGTAAAAGAAGGAAGCAGCCTCTACATAAAATATTTCATCAACTTTTCACTTACTATGAAGACTGGTTGCTCAGTTACTTGAAAGCGCAGAAGAAAAGACACTAACACCGTACGTACTTTAAATATTTTGGTTCCTCGCATGTATTATAGGAAATGCTTAGAACCACATAATGTTCAATATTTTATAATTATATCAAATATGATTTTTATCATTATTTCTAAAACAATTTCGGGTCTCTGTCTCCTTGAATTACTTTCTGTAACTTGTTCTACTTTTTTTTTTTTTTTTTTTTTTTTTTTTGTCATGTATAGATATAGTTCGACCATCTGAAGCGCAACCGTGGTTGGCATTCTGCCAAAACACATAGACTCGTCCAAAAGGGGCGGTATTACTTGCTGCTACCTAAAAGTCTTCTAGACGCCGCCTAGACGGTATAGTGGTTAGGGGAGGTAAACTGCTGAGTTGGCTTCCGACCCAGGTATAGATATATCCATGCAGAATTGGTTACCAACTCGGCAGGAGTCATCCACTAGCTAACAGGCCGCAGCCCTGGTAGCTAGTGGACGACATTTATAAAATGCAAAAAAGAGATATACATTCTTGGAGAAGAGTACAACAATGTACAAAGAAATATATACATGTGCATACAAGGCACTTGAAGAAGAGTATAATCAAAATATATGTATATACATATAAATACCAAATCAGATACAGATATATACACACTTACATACACATATATTCCGAAACAAATAAAAGCATACATACTCTCAGTCATATTGATAAATACATCCATGCGTTATCGTGATAGTTAAAGTTTACAAGAAGCATGCCATTGAGGTACGCGTGATCCTTAGTATAAATTAGGTACCATAAATAAAAGATATTAACATGTACAGATACATTACAGCATTCAGATACAGTACGAACTTTATGTATGAGAACCTGGCACAGCATAAATACAAAATTACATATTCTACATACATATCACATACTCTGTTGCTGACATATTGAACTAGCTTATATAGACTTTTATGATTACTATCTTCCAGCGTCAGAAGAGTAATTTCTAGTACAGTAGTCAATTATTGTTTTCAGTTTCCGCTGGGCAACTCTGTTACTTTATAGATTCTGGAACCAATTTGGCCAGAATCTGGCTCCTGGTTGCTTGAAGAGGTATACCAAAGGGCCCGGGTTCGAATTCCGGAGAAGACATGGATGTAAAATTGTCTGTCTCTTCATAGGAGGTAACAGTGGCTGCCTATTAGATGCCTCCATAATAAAATGGCTACCACTTCTGTCTTTAGTAGTGCCCAATGCCGTTATAGGCAAGAGCCCGCCATTTGTAAAAAAAAAAAAAAAAAAAAAAAAAAAAAAAAAAAAAGTCTACTCTTCTCCGGAAAGGTCTATGCTGGAGGGTAAAAAAAGTCCCCATCCTTTCACCCTATTTTGAAAATAATTCGGTCCGAATGGCGCATGTGTGTTTCCGCTCATGGTCGCGGAGGAGGCGGTCGAACTATACATGTCTGTATGTGCCATGTGCTAAGTTTTTGAAAAGTCACAGAGGCAGAGATCCCTCGCATACTTTGCTGTATCCAAAAAAACTAACCCTAATCTTTGAAAAGTCACGCTGTATTTTTGAATTAATGTTTTTTTGTTTGGTTGGTTGTTTACTAACATTTTAGTTGAACCTAAAGTATTATAGGTTCAATATCTTGAAATTTTACGTGAAAAACATTTTAGCAGAGGTTTTCCAAAACTTTTGCGGAATGTTTCTGTAGATTGATTACGGTTATGTTGCTACGCTACTAAGTACTTATCATTCCTTTGCTTTGGCAAGAGTTGCTAGTACAACAATATTGCACTACTGTGCATTAGTGAGTAAAAACACATATGTCATTCGTGACTAATGGCTTTGATGGTCATCAGTGTCTTTCGGTTTCATCTGATGCTAATAATTTATCTAATTTCACTATACTATCCAACATGAATGAACTTATGCGATGATCGCCAGTACTCTTAAGTTATCGGTGATCAAACATAGGTCACCGATGTCCTTCGATTTAATTTTACCTTTAGAATTTCTGTGTATTTACGTCATTATCACTAAGTGATGATGACCATCAATCTGTAGGTTTCTGTTACTCTAATAG